AGACGCACGCACAGAGGTCAAAACATAAGTCCCCGTTTTCGGACTGCGTCCAAACGGGGACTAATAAGGACAGACATTTTAAACTTTTATCCCTTTACATTCATCCACAATGACGAAATAAAAATGATTTTTTTAAAGATTAATCGAAACATTAAGACACTCGTTAAACTCTTGAAATGAAACGATGCAATTTTTTCAGATTTTTTTTAAACGTTGACCATAACCTGTAAATTTATGCATACAAAAAGTTAAACAGTTTTTTCATTTTTATAATACATGTGTTCAAGAATAACCATATTTGTCTCACTGAAATGTACACATCCTTGAGAGCTACGATGCATGCATAACAAACATTTCTTTACTCTATCATACATCACTGAATCACAAAATAATAACGAAGTTGTTAAGGATTTCACATCGATGCCAACAAGAATCCAACATGTAGATAAAATACTGATAGCAAAGGATACTAGGCTTTTTTCTGTCTTCATTGATAACGACAATATCTGTAAAATCTTTGGCAATGGCCTGTGGAATGATTTTTTTCAGTGCCAGTCCCCTTCGGTAGTATACCTCAGAATTAGGAATGCAGTCAGAAAGCTCTTTACAAAGACGCGTTGTTCTCTATTCAACCAAGAATACATTGAATAAGTAAATCAATGACATTCAACACTAACAGAAAATCCGCATCTGCAGTTCTGCAGCTCTCAATGATGATAAAGGCATTTTCAAATAAAAAAAAAGTTTATCACAATTCTGACAGTGAGGGCGCTAAACATTCAGATAATTGAGAATCTTGCACAATCTTCCAAACTAATAATTATTAGAATTAACTTTGGCAAAGTAACTTAACACATACAAACAAATTGTTTTGTTTTTTTAACATAACAATGTAAAATACAATTGCAATATTCTGTAAAATTGTATTATTAATTACTCCAGATTAGGAGACGCAAAGGAGGATACAGTAAATGATAAATTTGAACTAAGAATTTTCACAAGTATTTTTTTATGGCATTCGAAAAAAAATAATGTGACTGTTTACAGTACATAAGAGTTCAACAGTGACCGCATTTACACAAAAACATGCGTATATTATGCATCAAAATCACAGTGTACACAAAATAATAAACTCAGTGCTACTATGTATGCAAGAATACAAAAAAAAAAGTTTGCTATTTTTAATGTGGCAGGCGTCACTGTACTCTTTCGAACCCTCTCATAGCATTCGCTGACGTTGAACTAAAACGGTACCAACGCTGACTCAACAAACGCCGAGTGTACAAATTTGGTAACACAGTTCTGCATGTACGTGACTAACACGCATTCCCACCCACACGGCCACTGACAAATCGACAACTTTTTTTCACTGCATTTTTAAACAATAAATTTAAGCTAACTAAAACCCTCAATTTTGACTCAGTGACTGATAACAACGCGTGAATACTGCACATTGTAACGTCTTTTTTATAATGCCGCTCGCTAGACGACAACATGGAGTAGCCTATTTTCATATTTTTCAAGTTTACCACCCACGAAGAGCGCAAGACAATGGAAGGAAATAGATGATGTTTCAAATACTTGAGAAACTGACGACAATACTGTCACATCTACAGTCTCAGCAGAAGATCACACAAACATAAAATAACTCTGATTTTTCTGAATTACCGATAATCACCAGGCCTTCGACAGATTCTCAACACTCGCACCCGATCTCGCGAATATTACAGTGAAGGGTGTCCCCATTGCAGCTTTATCAGTTAGTTCGGAAAGCAGAATATAAATGGCGACGTCTGGAAAAAACTTGGAACCTGAAACTGTCATGCTCTGCTGACTGTGTGACAAGCGAGGAGAACATAATGCCTTTACAAAAGGATGCGTGAATTGAAGAAATCTGCATTAAAACGACAGTCCCAGACACAACTGAGCTGTAATGAATGACAATCTGACACAACACGAAAAGCTGTTTTTCGCACGATGTATTTGTTATCCAAACAAGAATTCAAGATACCCAATGATGTTTATCGGCTTACATCATGAACATGGCTGCCAGGCATTCAATTCTAAAGACACTGCAATCCTAAACACACGATTCATTACAGGTGATACTTTGACGTTAAATGCAGTCACATGTATTTTGGGGGATGTATACAATGCTAGACCATTACATAATACTATGTTATTATTGACACGCTATTATATATTTAAATGTAAAATTGTTGGGACAAAACCAGACTTTGTTTGTATTTGTGTAGTAACCTGTATTGTATCTTTGTTTTGTTAAGCATATCAATAAAAAAAAACACGATTCAAATGCAACAGAAATGCAGGACACTGTTGCCGAGACATTAAGAGAGGATGTCAACAAAATGAATAAAGTCCCTTCATCAGAATACTTGTGGACTGCTAATGTGACAATTTTTAACAAATTAATTGTGTGTTTCAGAGTGTTGAGTGAGAACGAGAGAGCTGAAACTGATTTTGGTGGTGACTATACTGTTCAAAGTGGTGTGAAACAATATTTAATAAAATGCAAGTAACAGGCGAAAAGAAAGACAACCTGTTCAGCAAATTGGTTGGACTTGGTTTGTGTGATGCCACTACACTTTGCGATAGATCGTTTTGATTTTGATCATGCACTTGAAATCATCAGAAAAAAAAAAATCGCCACAAATTGTGGATAAAATGTATAAAAAGTGTTTTTGATAAAAATTAAAACTTAAACATGTGTCATGTGTAAGTGGGTGTACGCATTGATGGTCCGTAAAACACATCTTTTGGAGACAGGTGCATTCAATATACGCAACTTACATGACCTAGCACGACCACTGATCTCCCCAATTTATTTTGGAAATCCGCAGCTGGTAATTATATATAATTACATCATAGTAAATACTGTACATGCAATATAAGCAACGACATTTACTTACTGATTTGGGTCTGTCTGCTGTTGTTATTAAGATTTTTGGCAATGATTTTCTGTCGAAATATGATGACATTTCATCCGTGGCTTCGTCATACCGTACCTGCAAATAAAGCAATCATGGCATGGGACAGTTGATAATGCCGACCAAATTTTGTTTTTAAATGAAGACTCACATACAGCACATAATTAGACATCTGACGCTGAAAATTCAATTCATTTGTTCATAAAATTTAATAACATTTACCTAGGAGGCAGAATGGGAATGCATTGACCGCTCGTACATGTGGTATTTTCAGAATAACCTCATATAATTTTGACTGATCACAGAATTGTGCCATTTTTTTATATTGTTTCCCAAAATTTCCATCGCCTCAGATTAGTCTTTTTGAACCTATGCTTCCACAATCAAGTATAATAAATATCACTGAATCAACGGTACACAGCTTGCCAATAACCAATAAATATTATTGATAATCTCAAAAGTTGCAGTAAAATTTGTTGCTTTCAAGATAACAGATGACACGTTATTTGCACAATATATCTTAAGCCATTTCTAAGGCACTAATTTAACTCGTATTCATAATACAGTGTTCTCCCCAGGAATTTAAACCACTGTGCAGTGTTCTCCCCAGGATGTAAACAGTGTGGCGGTGCCACCACAGTGAAAACTGCATGATGGTTTTCGAAAGAGGTGATTAGCAATTTTTAAAATGTAAAACAAGTCTTGAAAGAAGAGTTTTTACATGATTCACGATGATAACAGTTCAAATGTATTTTACCCAATCACGCAACAAACACGTCGTTTTTTCATGAGTAGCGTAAAATTGATCGTGAACTCCGCGTTGCCCATGTTACATCAGGGTGGAATTGATTTTGAAAGAATTTTAGCTTTCAATCTAAAGACTGCGGCTATCGTCAGAAAGTATTTACTTACAAACAAAGAGGTGCTAATTTTACAAAATTTACTTGTATTGTTTAAAGCCACTACCACATCGCACGACTATGTCTATTGTTTACAAATTATTATCCATCACTGGCAGGATGCTTGTCGGTCGGTACGTAAGTATAATAACAATATGACAATAACAATAGTCCTGGTCAGAAGCGTTTCCATGGTGGTCGCTAATTTTGAGTGCCGGTCGGGCCGACCAGCGTGACGAGATCCCCAATGAAAAAAGCACTGTGGCGGTCTTGCTAATCAACGTGGCGGTGTCAGACCGGTGTGGCGGCAAATCGAAGCACTGTGGCGGCACCGCCACGCTGTTTACATCCTGGGGAGAACACTGTAATACCATGATATATTCTGCCAAAAATTCAATCATTCTTAAAACTAAATATTTAAATGTTTTTTTGAAATTTTACTAGGAATTAATTGTAAACTCGTATTTAACCATACCTCTTCATCCTGCGGATCAACCATTGTCTCATCATAGACCCTGGTGTTTTCAATCGTCTTCGGTACTTTCTTCGGCGGTGCCTACAAACCAGAAAAAAGCATATAGTAGTAAGCTTAGATAGTCAACTACAGCAACTTCTACAATGTACATGCAAACCTAACTCATGCATGACTCACAAGACAGAAGATTTAAAGGGCAGTAGTCGTCGCGTCACGCATGCGTGAGATATATGGGTCTCATATAAACAAAAATGGTGACGTTGACCATTGCGCAGATCAACTAGTACTAACTGACACGTTTCCAGGCTTTAATTAGGTATTTTTAGGTGACTGGATGGTATCAAAAGAGTCACCGGTGGTAATTAGTTCAAGTCGCGCCTCGGTCAAACCTCATACTTGTGATTTTTATTTGAAGAGCGCATTGGATTATGGGAAAATCAAGGTTTATCAACACAAATGTTGCACATGCGCAGCGCAACAAGCACCACGCTTTGGGGTAGAAGCCTACTTATAAATACAAATACCCAGAATTAGTTATTTTTGACTGTCGTATGTGAAGCGATGAATCACAGCAATGCAGCCACCATTTCAATACCACAATTAACTGGTTAGACATGACTAGCATAATGGTCATCTCCGTCATATTGAAAGAGTGACTTTGTTGCAAACAAAGTTTAAAACATCACCTGATGAAGCTTTCATGGATAACCAAAATACATGGGGGGGGGGGGGTCAGTAGTTCATGTGAAATTAAATGTTGTCTCACATATTTTTCATAAGTAAAAACTTTTGTTTAAGGGGGATAAAACAAGTAATGTTTTTGCAGCTGTGTGCATGTTTCAATCAATCGTGGCCTAATTAACATCTCACAATTTATGCAACTTCATAACCTTAAAATCTATAAAATATAGGTATTGTGTTAATATCTTTGACATAATACATTAAACAATCTCACCTCATCTCCAAGGGCCTCCTCTTCTTTCTTTCGTTTCTTTTGTCTCTCTCGTTTTTCCTATTTGGAAAGAAGACAAGTTTGATTAACGGCAATTTATACAGAATGACATTAAGTGGACCCTAAGACAATTATAACAAAGTCATTGCTGTACTCAATCCAATGATGCAGTACTCTATATCCTTAGTACTGAATCTGCGCAAAATTTTGACGTTAAATTCTGTAAAAATAAATCAAGCAATTTCTGGTGTTTATGATGCAAAAAATTAAAGCATAATAATAAACTAAAATAACGCATATATCAACTATAATAGAAAATGTTTATGATGGACTATGTGTGTCATCTATGTTTCAGTATAAAGCAAAACCACACACATGTACTAATGCTATGCGATATAAATTGTTCACATATTGGAACTAAAACACAAGTACAGTACATGTACGGTAGTTGTTTTAATTTATTAGTGAAAGCACAATAGTCGTCAGACCTCGCCGGATATTGTCACAAGTTATGTAACAAGTTTAAACAACGTACAGTCCAGTACGTAACAATCAAACAAATGACATAACTTCTGTATTTCTATACATATGTATTAGGGAAAATTCAAAATATGTTTTCTCCGACGTAATCTGATAGCATTTCTCAATAACAAAAATTCTGAAACTATTCAAGCAATTGCCAAGTTTATCAGTGACTGTTTTACTAAAAGAGAGAACTTCATGAAAAGCAATTTACCAGCTGCCTCAAAATAACACCAACAAATATTTATTTTACTATTTTTCTTTTTTTCAATTATTATTATTCCTTATGTATTTTATTGTTCCTTATATCCTTATTGTATTATAATCTAGATCCCAGTAGGAATACATTATCAATAAAGGTTATTATTATTACATTTTGGAGCG